TTACAGCAGAGTTTTATGGGGGGGGGGCACTTTGTTGAGACGTCGCAATGCAATGACCTCTTATTTCTGCAGTGGAGAATTTGCACGGTTAAACGTGGAAAAAGTGCAAGAACGAAGCTCAAGATGCATCCTGAGCAGCTGTAATAAAGCATCAGGGTTGTGACAGAAGATTTAAAGTCAGGTAAATGAGACGAGCTGAAGGTACTCTTCAGTCTGCAAGAGTGGCTGGCTGGCCTGCGTGCATCAACACCCACTCTTTCTTTCTTTCTTTCTTTTACTAAATGTCTGGTCTGGTTTTGTCTGGCTTTTCCTGCCAGGCATCAGGAAAACTTATCAAAGAGCACAGACAGACACTTTCAGCTGTTCCAAAGGGAGGGAAAAAAAAAAAAAAAAGAAAATCCCATGCCGGCTCGTTGTGGTGATGAATTCTGATGGTCTGACTCTGCTCTGTCCTGCCTGACAGCTCAGCATGCCTCGGCCCAGCCGTCACTCCTGCTTAATAATAAAAAGCATCATTGATCCGGATATTAAACAGGCTGCATGGCTTTCAGTAAAAAAAAAAAAAATCCATGCGTGTTTAATTCCTCGACGTGGTTTTGGAGGCTGGAGTTTTGAAATCTGCCTCAAACATACTTAAAGAGTTGCTATTTAAGCCCACAGTTATTTTATTACTATCCACTGAAGTTCCTAGACATAAACAGTGAAATAATGGGTCAGTTGTTGGCTTGTGTTTTAATGCATTATCCATTTGTGTATTAATATTTAATATCGTCCCGAAGGAAGGATGAAAAATATGCATTGGCAGAATTATGACCAGAAGTCAACAAGTCAGACTGATGGTAGAAAAAAAAAGTTTTGTTACTCATTAGTTTTCATTAGTCATAGAGTTATTGTGTGGATTTTAAAGACAATCACTTTTCACGTGTTTTTAATCTACACTCACCGGCCACTTTATTAGGTACACCTGTCCAACTGCTTGTTAACACTTAATTTCTAATCAGCCAATCACATGGCGGCAACTCAGTGCATTTAGGCATGTAGACATGGTCAAGACAATCTCCTGCAGTTCAAACTGAGCATCAGTATGGGGAAGAAAGGTGATTTGAGTGCCTTTGAACGTGSCATGGTTGTTGGTGCCAGAAGGGCTGGTCTGAGTATTTCAGAAACTGCTGATCTACTGGGATTTTCACACACAACCATCTATAGGGTTTACAGAGAATGGTCCGAAAAAGAAAAAACATCCAGTGAGCGGCAGTCCTGTGGGCGGAAATGCCTTGTTGATGCCAGAGGTCAGAGGAGAATGGGCAGACTGGTTCRAGCTGATAGAAAGGCAACAGTGACTCAAATAACCACCCGTTACAACCAAGGTAGGCAGAAGAGCATCTCTGAACGCACAGTACGTCGAACTTTGAGGCAGATGGGCTTCAGCAGCAGAAGACCACACCAGGTGCCACTCCTTTCAGCTAAGAACAGGAAACTGAGGCTACAATTTGCACAAGCTCATCGAAATTGGACAAGAGAAGATTGGAAAAACGTTGCCTGGTCTGATGAGTCTCGATTTCTGCTGCGACATTCGGATGGTAGGGTCAGAATTTGGCGTCAACAACATGAAAGCATGGATCCATCCTGCCTTGTATCAACGGTTCAGGCTGGAGGTGGTGGTGTCATGGTGTGGGGAATCTTTTCTTGGCACTCTTTGGGCCCCTTGGTACCAATTGAGCATCGTTGCAACGCCACAGCCTACCTGAGTATTGTTGCTGACCATGTCCATCCCTTTATGACCACAATGTACCCAACATCTGATGGCTACTTTCAGCAGGATAATGCACCATGTCATAAAGCTGGAATCATCTCAGACTGGTTTCTTGAACATGACAATGAGTTCACTGTACTCAAATGGCCTCCACAGTCACCAGATCTCAATCCAATAGAGCATCTTTGGGATGTGGTGGAACGGGAGATTCGCATCATGGATGTGCAGCCGACAAATCTGCGGCAACTGTGTGATGCCATCATGTCAATATGGACCAAAATCTCTGAGGAATGCTTCCAGCACCTTGTTGAATCTATGCCACGAAGAATTGAGGCAGTTCTGAAGGCAAAAGGGGGTCCAACCCGTTACTAGCRTGGTGTACCTAATAAAGTGGCCGGTGAGTGTACATTCGCTCTGAGCTCCAAGCATGTGTTGTGAATGACTCTCAGCTACTACCACCTTGAATTTGAGCTTAATATGTGTAAAACTGACTGAGTTACAGCCTTATGGTGTCATCRAATTTTGATTAGCTGTAGCAGACACCTTGAATTAGATTCACTCTAAAAGTTGAATAGTTGTAGATCTACGTTGTTGGGTTATTATCTGAAAGTTTCATTCAAATTTGTCCAGTGGTTCATGAAATATTTTGCTAACARACAGAAATCCCCTCCAAAAACATAATCGACTGCCTTTGTCTTTTTGGCGGCAAGTGATAAACACGTCCAAACGTTTGATATGAAGAGAATTTGAGAGGAACATGCAACAGTTCACAAATCAGTTTTATTAATTTAAACACAATCAAATAATAATGTCAAAAACATCTGTACACATCATTTTGCAGACACAATCTTCTGTGTTTTCACAATGAGGCCCATGTAGTGTAAAATATTTCCAGTTTGCATTTATGATCGCGACAAAATCATAATAATTAAAAAAAGCGTGCTGTATGAACCTATAAAACATTTCCTCTATTTATTTACCTACTATTACCTTGATCTAGCAGCAATATGTAGATACCCCGAAGAGAGAGAGGGAGAGGGGTGGGTGGTGGGGGTGGGGTTGAACTGTAACGCCAAAGCCAAACAGTGATCATGTGCAAAGGAGGGAGAAAATTAGAAACACAACACGTCCGTTTCTATTTAGGAAATTCACAGTTGATAGCACATGTCCTCCAAGTTAGTGGCTTTCGCTCTCGCTGTTCGTTATGGTTTTCCCGTCAAAGTCAGAGCTGAAACAAAAACACTACATCATACAAAATTACGCTTGCTGTACAAGAGTTTTTATAGTGCTTGTATAAAAGACAATAAACCCTATTCAAGCTTTTTTTTAAATGTCGGATTTATTCGAATTTGTGTTTAGATCGGCTCTCTGAGCGCCGAATTTTTTTTTGTTTACCTTCAAACGTACGGGTCAGGGCTGCAAGCTGGTGAAATGCCGTGAGTTTAGAGTGAACGCTCTGAAAAACTAAGAAATAAAAACAGATTTTTAAAAAAGTTTTATGTGTAGAGCTGTAACTTTACACAAAGACGTGGATGAAATTTACCATAGGTATGAGAAGGTTTCAGAACTAAAAAGAAAAAGTCCTTGACACTTGACATCCGGGCTCTTTTGGTCTTGACAAAGCAGTTGATCAGAAAAAAAAAAATACCCCATTATCTACACATTTGTGTTTTTTTTTTCTTTTCTTTTTTTTAAAATCAAACAACACATCAACACTTTCAGGTGTCACACAAGCTTTCCGTGCGACCGGACGCCTTTTTGTTTTCTTCTGTTTTTACTTCCATTCAAAAAAAAAAAGCAATGCCACCTTTCAAGAGTGTGTACTTAAATGATTATAGGAAGGAATAGTCCAGTGATTACAAACTTACACACGCACAGAAAAAAAATCCTCTGTACACGATTGTCTCAGCAATGTTAATAAAGTTTTTTTTGTTAATTTTCTTAAATTATTAGAAAAACCCCCATTTTTTTTGTTCCTTTCATGAACCTCTCGCTGTGGTGGAAATCTTAGCACTTTGTTAAAAGGCACAAGTCTTTTTGTCGTCGAGGTACCTTCTCCGTGGCGCGCCGCCACTCACAATGTTCATAAATAAGAAGCTCAGGACTTCCACACTGACGCCCCGCAGAGTCCAACTGTCCAGTTGTGGAGGGGGGGAAGTGGGGGAGGGGGGGTGTTAAAAGTGGGTAAGCCGAGTGAAGAAGCGATGGCGGCTGACTGTAGCGGAGTTCTGAGGCGGGGGAAGGCGAGGCCGTCCAGTGGCTCTGCTCTCCTCCAAGGTGTGAACCCTGACAGAGTCTCAGCACAAACATGGAGGGTGTGTGTGTGTGTGTGTGTGTGTGTGTGTGTGTGTGTGTGTGTGTGTGTGTGTGTGTGTGTGTGTGAGGGGGACGCACAAAACACTCAGGCAGCTTCCGAAAGCAGCCGATTCACAGTAACCAGGGCGAGCAGCTGCTGCGTCGTAAATCCACCTCTCTCTCTCCTTCGCTTTGCGGGAGAGACAGAAGTGAAAAAGTTTAGGGTTAAGACGACRTGTGACAGTATGTCAGCACATTAACCGTGTGCTTCTTCCCCAAAGCCCCGACTTTAGTTGTTTTTTTCTTCTTTTTTGTAGCGAAAGACCGACACCAGGCAGCGCAGTGGGGAGTGGGAGGGGTTTCTTTATTTCAGAGCTCTGAAAGGCTGCTGCAAGCGTGGGCCGAGCCTGCAGGACGAAGGTCAAAGGTTGCTTGACACACAGCAGGTCGTCCCCCGAGGAGGCGGGCCGGGCCAGATTAGAGGTGACGGAGACGAGGAGATGAAGGAGAGATGAAAGGAGGAGAGAGAGGGAGGTCGTCCGGGGGGGGTGATCAGTGAGGTGGACGCGATGCCATCTGACAGGTCCAGCTGGGAGACCGCCCACCCCCCAGCGCCGTAAACTGGTCAATATGGAGGCCAATTACTGCTGCCCATGTGACCAGGGCATCATCCAACCCTATCATAACACACGTGCACGCGCGCACGAGCGTGCACGTGCCATCTGTGCACAAACCAGTCTCCCTCTTCTGGAACTCCAGCAGCGTCCACGTTTAACCCCCCCCCGAACAGGGGCCGGGGCCACCCGACCCTCCCGGCTCGAACCGCAGCTGGACCTCAGCGAGGAGGACGAGGGCGGAGCCTTCCTCTTCCTGAGGCTGAAACATCTGGATGAATCTGGCCACTCGCCAGAGGCCTGAACCCCATTCAGCCCCCCCCCCCCC